AGAGATATAATCAAACATTGTCTAATCATATGTGGAAATATCATGATGACACAGCTTAATATATACTAGTAAAAAATGATAAGTAGGAAATACACTCATTACCTTGCTCATGTAACTGTAATCCCTCTGTACATTATTTTACAATAAAATGTATATGTATGTATATATATATATATATATACATGAAATATCTGCTTTCATTTGTTAGGATAGCTATTGGCAAGCAATCAAGCATTCAAGAAACCAAGTGTTGGCTAGGATGGCCACCTCTACACTCACTTATACTTTGTAGGAATGAATCCAATTCAGTACTATAAGTAATATATGTGAATTTCTCAAAAACTATTAAAAATAAAACAAAATGAAGCTATTTTGTTATATAGTAATTCTATATTCATTATTTTTAAAATACAAGTATTCTAAAATGAAAGTATATGAGAATACTACACCCCTGTGTTTATACTTCACTATTTATAATAACGAGGATATAAAATGGCATCAATCAATAGATGAATGGATAAATAGTCTTTCTACATGTAATGGAATCCTGTTGAGCTTTCATTGTATTCATGTTTTTGGTATAGTTTTCCCCAGGCTTGAACTCAGTTCCTCTTGATCACAGCTGGTGTTTGACCTTTTGAGCTAAGCTTCCAATTGGCCTTTTGCAGGTTAATTGGAGATAGAACCCCTTAGGCTTTTCTCCCAGGCTGACTTTGAACGGCAATCCCCTGGATATTAGCCTTTTGAGCAGGAGTTTGTATTCCTGTAATCCAGAGCTGGTTTGGAATTACTTTTTTTTTAATGCAAACTACTATGAAAGCCAACCCCAACACAGACTAATTCCACTGTACATTTGTACATCCTAACAACCTTACAAGGCACAGGAGAGATTATTTTTAATTGTTAAGGTTTTTATTTGAGATGATCATGAAAATCATTCAAATTAGTAACTGTGTAATTGATTCTGAAAAATATTTTAGGCTACATAGCTCTAATGCTAAATTATATTTTTTTCATTTAAGTTGGCTAAAAGTGTGTGAGAGTATTGTTATTACAAACCATTATCACTGTATCAGTCATAGTAAGTCACTTATGATTTCATTACTCTCAACCCCGAAGTTTAATGACTCCTAATGTCAACTCCAGTTGTGGTACCCCATTCCTGCAATCCCATCACTCAGTAGGCTGTGGCAAGAGAGTTTCAGAAGTCTGAGTGCAGCCCGATCTACATAGTTACAACCTATCACAAACAAACTGATTTATTTCTATTATATGTCTGTAGTTTGTTGGTTCTGAGTAAAAATGACGTTTGCTCACTGTCTCTTCCAGGAACAATTCTGAGTACTGGGTTTGCCAAATCTGCAACACGCAGAATTGCTAGATGAGAAATAGATGACTTTGTCCTGCATGTGGACTTGTGGCATACAAGACATGATTGTTGTTGTGGAAGGAGGAAAAGAAGGCAGATTAAAATTGACTGTTAAAGACCCTTGCCTGTCAATAACATTCTTCTGTCCAGTCATTTGGTGATGAATAGTATTGGCTAGCACATTCAATAGAAAATTTATTAAAATTTATATTACAATATTCACAGAAGCCAATTCAATACATTTTTTTTCCAACTGTTCTTTTGCTCTTTGGTGATTTCTCCAATTTTAAGTGTTTCATGGCTAAATTAAGAACACTCATTCTGAAAAACTGGATAGTTGTCATGCTCTATAAATATGAGTTAATTGATCATCAAGCTATCCATTTCTATTTATTATGATGATAGGTGGCTCACTGAAAGAATTGATTAATGGCATCAAAATAGTGTGACAGTTTAATCAGTAACATGAGGATAAATGGTAGTAGACTTTGTCATATATTCAATATGATTTATAGCTTATTGAAATCCTTGAAGCTATTATTTGGATCAATTTGAATTTCATCAAATTCCCCAAATAATACAGAACATTCCAAGCTCTTGTCAACATAGTGGTTAGTTTGCAGTCAAGTTAGTTAAGAAGAATAAAATTCAGCAAATAACCTTGATAATTGGATAAGTAGCTAGAAGTTATAATTTTTCTTTTCAAGCTATTGTTATGAACAAAGAGCCTCCTGCTTACTAGACCTCTTGACCCACACTTTTAGCCTCTCTAAACTTTTGTCATTTTTAGAATAGAATATCAAGATTTTGCTCAGCATTGGAACATAATACTCTGATCTATGACACCCATAGTTGCAATTGTAGGCATGAAACACTATAGACAGACAGACAGACAGACAGACAGACAGATAGAGGCGTGGGCAGTGTCCCTTAGCTCTATTTCTCTCAAGGCTAGCACCCTACCACTTTGAGCCACAGCACCACTTCTGGGTTTTTCTGTGATTAATTGGAGATAAGAGTCTCATGAACTTTCCTGCCCAGACTGGCTTTGAACCATGATCTTCAGATCTCAGCCTCATGAATAGACAGAATTATAGGAATGAGTCACCAAGGCCCAGCTTAAGCATATGTTTTATGAAGAGGCAGACACTTCTTTTTTCTTCCCCCCACTTCTTTCTTTGTTACTGGCAAAATGAACTTGTGGGTATTTACTACTGTGGCCTTCAATGGAGTGGCATTAACATTCTGTTTCCATTTGTTTTTGTTTTGTTTTTTTCAACACGGGAGCAGATGCCAGTTTCATATGGGTTGTGAACATCATCCAAGCTGTTCTTCAAATATAAATGTAATTACTGGTCAATAGCCCTGGATAATTTACACATCTGTTGAAATTTTGGAGGCTTTATTAATTAATATGACTCAGAGTTATTTTCCATTTGGATAGCTGAGAGCTACTTCCGATGAAGACACACAGTCCCAACCACAGCTCAAGAATAGATGTGAATAGTCCCAGCCAGGAGCCCTATATAAAAAGTTCAGCTATAACCAAGGGATTTTTTTTTTTCTCTCAAAGAACAGCTTTGTGCATCTGTGTGACAAGCGAAAGATCTAAAGCTTAAGTTTTAGATGGCTAAAATATGGGTAATATTTTTCTTATCAGGGAAGGTGAAGTTATTAAATTCAATGTCATGCAGTATTATTACACTAGAGAGAATACTGAAGTTTTTGCCTAGATGTGATGATCTTCATGCTTTGGGTAAGAATGTTATTTGGTATTTCCTAGTCCATCTGAGAACTTTCAAATGGCAGTGAAAGCAGTGGATACCATTTGCTAATGTATTCTCCTTCCACTCTACATCTTCATTCCTCTTCCTTCTACTATCACCACTGCTATCTGATCTACTGTTACTCCTGAAGCATATTTAACTTAATTATAAAAGGCTGGCTGGCAGTATGGGATAATTTATAGATGGATTGAAGTCACAAGGATTTTATTTCTTTTGAATTGTAGGCTACAAAACGCTTAAGAATTTGAATCATGTTATTGTAAAGTCAGCCTTGCTTTATGTAAGATCCAGGTGTTGGTCCATATTCCCTATAGCTGTAATATTCTATCTTTACAATGGATCAGTCAGGTATGTATATGTCTCACTCCTAATTTATATTCAAAAATTTAGAAAAAAACACAATCACACCTGATTTATGGAACTATAACCCCTGTGCATATCACATTTGTGATATCTGTTTAAAAAGCAAAAAAAACACAAAACAAAATCCTTAGATTTATGAGGGTCAAGAGTATTACCAAGGAAGCAGGATTTTAAATGTAAACTTATTTTGAAGCCCATGCTTTCAAGGACTTTCTGTATTCTCCTTTTTTTAGTCCCAAAGTTCTTATCCTTAGATTAGCATCACTACCTTTAATGTGTGTGTGTGTGTATGTGTGTGTGTGTGTGTGTGTGTGTGTGTGTGTGTGTGTGTGTAGCATCTACTGAGATTATACCCTTCACTAAATCCCTCAGAATAGATTATAAAGCAAATTTTCAGATATTAAAATTGATTCTGTTACTGCACATCAGTGTTTAAAAGTCTGGGACCTCAAAATTATTTGGACAAGTTATGGGAATGTTGCTATTTGCTACATTTGCTCTCCTATTTTGATCCTGCCACATGCTTAACTCATGGATACTGAGGTATCTTTCAGCTCCTTAGTAGAACATTTGATCTAAGGAACTTTTTGGTTGGCTGTATTTGACTTCCCAAATATTTGGAAGAAATGTGGTTTATGTAAGTTGGTAATACTATATATGTATATAGATAGAAAGAGAGATGTATAGATATATGTATAATACTGAAATGTAAAACATTTCAAACATTTGTCATTAAAGATATTGAGAAAATGAATAGTTTTGTCTTCCAAGCTGTATAGCAAAGGAATAATTGTGTAGGCATTGTGGTTCTTGTGTTTGTACCATTGTTGTTATTTTGGAAGATGTGATATTTTCAAATTGAAAGTTCTCAACTTTCTGATCCAAGGCTATTATTGATGTTTGTAATTTAAGAAGAGGTTGTCTGGGAACACTGCCATTTCATGAATGTGCTTATTATATCAGTTCAGAGGAATTTTTTAATCGCCATATATTATTAGTGAATCTTTTAATGGCACCAGATAGAAACAGGTAGACTTCCTAAGGATTATTTTGGCTACCAAATGCATTTTAGGAAAAGACCCCAAATTGAAACTTTTCAAATGGCCAGTTGACAGTTACTAAAATGATACCTAGTTTTAGCTATCTGTCTCTCAAGAATGCAAAATAGTATCTGCAACTAAACTAATGTTATGGCATAGGAGGAACAATATTAATTAGATTTAATATTGATGCAGAAAGTATGGATCTCAAAGTAGCAATACCAAGTCCCATGAAATTTCTAAATGACAATCTGATGTTGGTAGGATAGGGATAGAAACAGCTATTAATAAATAAATAAAATGTAAATATGTGCATGAAATAAATGTTCTTGAAAGAATGCTTGAAACATGTAGCATCCTTCGTATCATTTTATTATATGAAAAATTTAAATGCCCCTAATATCTTGGGTTTGGTTCTGTTTCATATGTTTTCGGACACAGATTTATATTTTTGAAAACAATATCTACTATCAACCTGACATAAAAAGCAGTTCATTAAGACTTACATCGTCTGGGAAAGAAGGAGTTATTTTTAATGGGATTGCTGACTGGTTATATGAAGGTGAGTTGAATAGTTTTACTTTCTAAAGAATGCATATCACATATTTTCATACAAAATATGCAAGAAAAATGTGCATTCTATAGTAATACTTAAAGTTGTATTTTTCTGCTCATTTCCTTTTAAAATTGTCTCATGCTTTCTTTTCATTGAATATGCTCAAACTTTGACTGGTTTTGATTTATATCTACCTACCTTAATTGACATTTATTACATGTATGAGTGAGTGGGTAAGTCTGTATGTGTATGTGTATATGTGTACAAACATTGTTCAGACTGGATTAATGTCATATCACTCTGGAATTAGAAATGATACTCTTGTGTCAAAAGTCTCACAAAAACCATTTGGTTTTACTTTTCTCTTTAGGGATATTGTAGCCTTTAAAAGCCATTGCACAGGGAGAAAAATAATGCTACCTGAAGAGTTATTTTCAATAAATATTGCTTAAAGTTTCAATAATATCTGAGAACATAAAAATCAAAAGGCTGATCAAAATACCTATTTTGATTGTATAGTTATTATCTATCATTTGAGTGGTAGGTAGGAATTCCCTCAAGAATACTCAAAGCTGGAGTTTTATGATCAATGATTAGATTCTTCAACTGATCTTGACAAAATATATATGATGTAAAGTTATCACATTTTATTATAAATTTTAAAGTTCAGAATCTAATAATTTGTTTTTATTTCTCAAGCAATACTTTCAAAGCAGTCTCTCTCCTGATATTTGATATTTTAAATTCTTTAATAAAAACAAATCTTTCAAAGCACTCACTTAATAGTCATTAGTAATGGCAAACTCGATTCCAATTATTAGTCCAGTCACTAAAATAGAGCATATATTTAATAAAATCCTTAAGGACCCTATATTTAACTACACAGATTTTGTCAGGCAGAATTCTTTTATTAATGAGTTGTATTCCTTGAAATTACATCTAGACATGTAAATGTAATTGTGATCCTTTAATATTATATGTGTATGTAGGCATATTTATATATATTTATGATATTTTTCCATATATATGCATATGTGTGTGAATGATAAGATCAAATAATAAAAGTTTTTTGGAGGCCACACTTTATCTTGGGAAATAGAATATCAGTAATAATTATCAGTAATAATAATTTTATAAAGGCATTAAAAACTAAAATAAAAATGCATACAAGTATAAGATGGCTTCAGCCAAGGGCCCTTGGCTCCTAGCTGTTATAATCACTAGTCAAGAGGCTGAGATCTGAGAGATCAATTTTAAAGCTAACCCAGATTGAAGTGTTTGGTAGATTCCATTTCCAAATTAACCAGTAAAAATCAGTGATTCAGAAAAAGCTCAAGTGGTAGATTGCCAGCCTAGCAAGCACCCCACATTAAAAAAAGAGAGTTGATCACAGGAAATTCTGACTCAGGCTTTTCTATTTCAAAAATCAAATAAGTTCTTAAAGAAGCTTGGGATGGCCACAGATTCAAGGAGGAAATGAGTGAAGAACAAACTTGATTAATTCTGAGATTATACAGAGTAGATGTTGAGTGATGCTCTTACCTGAGGGAACTGGAGAGATTAAGCACTTTAATTCCAAAATGTTCTTTTGTTCTGTGTGAGGATCTAAAAATTAAGAGGTGGGGCCCCAGTGGCTCACCCTGTAATCCTAACTACTCAGGAGGCTGAGATCTGAGGATCACAGTTCAAAGCCAGCCCAGGCAGGAAAGTCCTTGAGACTCTTATCTCCAATAAACCACCAGAAAACCGGAAGTGATGCTATGACTCAAGTGGTAGAGGGCTAGACTTGAGCTGAAGAGCTGAAGGACAGCACCCAGGCCCAGAGTTCAAGCCCCATGACCAACCCCCCCCCAAAAAAAAAAACATGTCAAGGAATATGCTAAGTAATTGAATCACAGTAAACAAGTGATCCAACGTACGAACAAGAGTGAGACAGGCCAGTCTGGGATTTGTGAGCACTCTCCTAAAGGAGAAACAATCTGATTGAGCCTGAAAATTAAGAACTTTTACATGTGAAAATAAATGCAAAACTGATGGGTTAAATAGCAGAGCTTATGTAGTTAGATTTACTTGACAGAAATGAGGTATAAGATTTGAGACAGGAAGACAGGAAGAAGCAAGGAATACTGACCTGTAACAATGACCTGAGATTTTTCTGAGGTTTTATTTCACTTACTACTAGTAAATTGAGACAAGTAAAGAGTGACAAGATTAGTTCTTCTACTTTTATATATCAGTACTGTTATGATGTGAAGCTGAGATCTTATAGTAGGAAGGACCAGTGAGCAGTATCAGGCTTTTTCTGTGCTCTATCTAGAGATAATGAGCAGTGGGGCAAGGGTTAGAGCAGTTAGTAGACTGAAAGATGGCTCTAAAATTGATGAGGCAGTGAAAGAGATAGGTTTTAGTGGATGAGCAGATAGAGTGCATAAGAGCCAAGAATCACACTATGGCTTCTGGTTTGGATTACTAGTAACAGTGGTGTCAGACACAGTGATCAAGCACTAACAAGCAACATAGGTGTTAGACAGAGGACTTGGTGCAAATGTAGCATGTGTCAGTATGCTGGCATGATGTGCTATGGGCATCACTTTAAGATTCTTAGTGTGAATCAACCTGGTATATACCCAATGTAGACATTGCCTGTTTTTCTGACTCCTTGATAAGATGACTTAGGCCTTTGTTCTAATGGGAAAATTTAAGGTGGAAAATTAGAAATCTCTTATCTATGAAAAAGGTCATTCTCTTATTAAAATAAAGAAATTTTCTATTTGGGCTGAGAATGAACAGTGAGTATAATAGGGTTGAGGGATGAACAGGACACATTAAGCAAAGCCTGACACTTCAGATCTGACAGATTCTAATAAGGATAGGAGAAATTAAGATTTTGGCCATATAATTAAACCTAGTATTTGAGGCTCTCTTGTTGGATATATAAAGAAATTCTATGTGTTATTGTTGTTGTTTGTCAGTACTGTGACTTGAACGTGGGACTTTGTGCTTGTTAGGTTGATGCTCTATCACTTGAGACATTCCTCCAGACTTCCTTTTTGCTGGTATTGTGGTGGCAGAGTCTAGAGAAATTCTTTGGATTGGTGTCTAATTGTAGTCCTCTAGATGTCAGTTGCTTGAGTAGCTTGAATTACAGACAAGAGTTACCATACTTGGCCCTGTTAGTCTCATAAAAGTATGAACTGAAAATACCAAGTGAGTAGCCGATATAACAATGAATATGTATGTTGTATCCACAAAATCAGTGTTGCATCAGAAGTGAGTGACTCAACATGCTATCTCATGTAACAAATCTCTGTGACACAGCATACATATTTTGGCCCCTAAAGTAACAGAATTCACTGATCTTTTCCTTAGGCAAAGATACCAAATGATACAGTTTATCTACTTATGACAATTCTCACTATACTATAAGTGAAATTTGGAGTCTCACATTTTTAAGAGACTATTGTTGGAAATCTAATACACATCATGTCACATGCTTGTGAATTTGGTATTATGTGAGAGCAATACAAGGTCACCTTAGTGGAGTCTAAACCACTACATTTAAGGAACCATTCAGAATTCAGTAAATAGAAGTCTGAAGAGAACTCAAGTCAGTGCAATATAGACTTTAAAATTACAAATAAATTTTAAATCTAATGTGATGGAGTAAAAGTCTTTACATTGTTCAAAAAGAATAAGGAACTGATAATGTCCTTATTGATACACTGCAAATACTGATTATCACACCCTTTTCATTTAACACAATAATGTAAGATACCTTTTTGTTTTGCTTGTTGCCTTTTGCTGGACACATGAATTACATTTATTCCTAGTTGGTTCAATAAGAACTTACTGGACTTACTTCCCATGAAAATTGTGCTATAATAAATAAGACAAAAATAATGTGGAAATGCAACACAGGAAATTGGAGAAAGGCAAGATTCTGGACAGGACTAAGTCTCCTGAGGTGAATTGTGAACACACATAATTCTTGTAAGGAAGTTAACAGCACAATGCAGACAGAAGAGCAGAAACTCAACCATGAACCCAGAAGGATACAAATAGCAGCCTTCAGGAATTCTGTGTAAATTGATTGTAAAATGGATATGGATACCATTAACTTGCTTTCTAGAATAGCACATTCATCTGGATTCAGTGGTTATATATTAGTTTTCTGGAAATGCTTTATGTTGAAGTTGTGTTTATAAGTGTCTGTGATATAAAACCACATATGTTGACAACCCCATCTGCTCTGTAGTAAAATTTTCTAAATCAGAATAAGAGACAAAGAGTCCAAACTAGAGTAAAGTGGAACAGAATGCAACTTGTAAAAATAAATTGTTTGTCAATGTTATAATGTAATTAACATTAGGAGTTTCAATCCTTGAGTAAACTCTCCTACTAGTTGGAATTAAACCAGTGTGTGCCTGATGCTTGATGACTGTTAAGGAAATGCTTAGCAAACATTCTTTTAGTTATTCCCCTAGTTATTTCACTTAGTCTTATGCTTGAGAAAGTTGCATAATTATTTGCATTTTATTATTTTGGTGTTGTAATATTTTCTGAATAATATTAAGTACAAAGAATTCTAATATACATTGCTTTTGACATGGTCCTTAAATATGACCATGCTTACTGATAGGAAGTACTGGGCATAAATATTTAATACTTGTGAAAAGACTATTTTCTTAGAAATTCAGAGCATTGAATTTATCCAATAAGATCTGTTTGCATCTTCAGATCTTATAGGCCTTAGAATTCATATCTAATTGGCCCTTATCATATGTATCTTTTCTCAATGTGCTATATATATTATATATATATATACATATATATAATTCATATCTCTTCAACTGTATTGTAACTTATTTGATTAAATCAGGCTCAAAATCATGACCTGAATAATGAAAACATTTAAAGGGGAAGAATTCAAGATAATTGTGTTACTCAGCTTCCTGTTACTATGACAAATAACTTTTGGTGATTGATTTGTAAAGAGAAAAGGTTTA